GCTTCCACCACGTAGTCCTTGTCTGGATCCGGTAAGATGAGTACTGGCGCTGTAGTCAGTGCTGTCTGTTTGTTCAGTGCGCGGTAGTCGATGCACATCCGTAAACCACCGTCTGGCTTTGGAGTGAAGAGAACTGGTGCGCCGTAGGGAGAGGTGGATGGGCGGATCAGTTGTCTGTCCAGTAGATACTCTATCTGTTTTGTCATGTCTGTCAGTTCAGTTGGACTCAGTCGGTATGGTGCACGTGAGACGGGTTTCGCACCTGGTTCCTCCACGATCTCGTGCTCGTGGGTGCGTGCTGGAGATACGCCTGTGGGTAGGTCGTCGGGCATTATATCCTTGTACCGCTCCAAGACCTCCTCCTCTGCTGCTGCTATAACCAGTGCCAAGTAACCCGTGTTGCTCTCGTTCACTGTCCGTTCGAACCGTGCCAGTGTCGTTTCAGGAACGCTCCCTGTATCCGTCAAGCCTCGCAGCTCCACTCGTTTCCCGTTGTTGTAGATGCACACCTTGCTGTTGACCCAATCGATCTTGGGGTTGAACCGCTTCAGAAAATCTTGCCCCAAGATGAAATCTAATCCCTTGATGTTCGTGATCGGCAACGTCGGCTTCCACCTCAACGCCCCTATCTGCAGCTGTAGTGTTGACTTTCCGTGGATGGGAAGCTTCGTACCGTCCACCATCGTTGCTGTAAACTGGGTTTCTTCTTAGGATTCTCCAATTTTCTCTAGCGTCCCGCGGTCGCACACCGAGTGGGACGCACCACTATCCACCAGGGCCTGGAGGCGACGCCCGTTGCAGATCACCTCGAGTACTAGTGGTTGCTGCTGCTCCGAGTATCCATAGATGGTATCGCTTATAGGATCGTAGGGTACGTCGAATATGTTATCCCTAGGTCCTGCGCTCAAAGATGCAGCTTCAGTATCAGTTTTCAACTGAGAAAGGTTAGAAGGATTTATCCGAGGCCGATTCGGCTTCTCTTGGGCCTGGAACCTTCCACTAAGCCTTTGCAGCTGTGTAGGCTTCATCTGTGGGGAACAGGGAGCCTTTAAACAGTGCTGCTGGGAGAGAATATTAACTCCTCAGAACGCTCGACCCGTATTAGCGCTCTGGAGTAGGGTCCCCATAATACCCGGTACCGGTTTAATTTCTGACTCTCCCTTAATAAAGGCTTGAAACCCACGAGAAGTAATATTCTTACTTGTCGGGGTATACGGCTGGAGTTTCCCGGTCGGTGCAGGGTCTTGTTTCGCGGATCCTCCATTAGTCTCGGCGATTTCCCCTGGTGCCGGCTGGTCGTGACGTTTTAAATTTGCGCCACCATATTCTCCTTTTTTCGCCCTCTCCGAAGTTGCCACGTTGTCCGTTTTCTGCTTCGGGGGTGCCGCACTGTTCTTGTCCTTCAGCTCCGCACACCTTCTCTTCATTTTCCAACACGCCAAGATACGATGTCCTGTAGCGCCGCAAAATTTGCACGTCTCATTATTTGCTAGCCGCTGCTCCACATCGCCCTCGTCGTTCTCCATCGGGTCGGCAGTCGTGGGTGGTGCCAATCGCCCCATGCCACTAGTTGGCTTGTTGCGTCGTGTTCCGTAGTAGCTACTGTTCAACGTGTCGAACTGTTCGATCAGTGCTGCCGGAACCTGCGCCCACGTCCCCTCGCCTTGGACTATTCTGTTGTTGATCCACTCTAGAGCTGGGCCTCGTAACAGTGTTGCTGCGAGCCGTATGCGCATTGCGTCTTTTGTCGGGGTCGTGCATCTAACGGATTCGAAGTAAATTTCGAGTTCAGCTACAAATCGACGAACGTCGTTCCTTTTTACTGTAGGATCGAACGCCTCCGCTAGCCTCAGCTTCACTGCTTCGAGGTTAACTGTAGCTGCCGCCGTTGTCGCATGTAGAATTGTCGGTGTAGCCGCTGCTGCTGCTGCTGCTACTGTTGTCGCTGCTGCTGCTGCTGCTACTGTTGTCGCTGCTGCTGTGGCGGTTGCCGACTGGTTCGCAAGGAGTTTTTCGAGTCGTGGGAGCGCTGCACGTATTTGCTTATGCTCAGCACGTAACTCCGCGATTTTCTGTACTGAAATATCTCCTTTTCCCTCCATTTGGCGATTTACAGGAAGATGCGCGACGAAAATAATCGAATTCTAGGTGCTGGTCGACTTACTGCGAGTCAAATTGACTGTAGAATTGACGAGCGCGAATTCTGTAGGTTGCGTAAATCTCCCTTAGGCGAAATTCGCGTCCGATCTTGGCCGTTGAGGAGAAAATCGATCTGACGCTCCAAATTCCAACTGTTTTGGGCGAAATTCTCTGGGCCGTTGAGATGAAACTCGATCGAACGGTCGAAACTCCAACCTTTCCACCAGTAAATCTGAGGGGTGTTCGAAACCGAATCGAGGGGGACTTAGAAAAATTGCGCGGAAATGGTTTTACATACCCGTATCGGCGCTTTCGTCGTCGCCCCCGCGGTTTTTAAAGGCCGGAACTAAGCGGTTGAAGACCTCGCGTGTAAACCCGCTCTGATTACCAAGTGTGAGGATCTGGGATCGAGCTCAGAAAAGATGATTCAAATTGAATTGAATGATCACCTGGGTACAACACGAGGCTATATATAGGCTCGACACAAGGCCCCGTAACCAGGTGTTACGCGAAGGTTCCGCGGGTCGCGAAGCGTCCCGAACAGATCCTTACCGAATTCGGTAGAAGGCAATTCGGTGGCAACCGAAAAGCCAGAATTCGGTGCACGCAACCTAGCTCGGTGCTATAACTACAATAAAATATAGGAAAGCACCTAGCCTAGGAAATCAATCAATTCATGCATGCATATGATTATCCTATGCTAGAAATAGCATGATAAAGTAAAGGCAAGCAAGCATAGCTGGCATAAGCTGTCGTACTCTCACACCTGCCTGCCGCGCGCTCCGGGCGCGCGGCGATTTTTCATCCCGCCGTGCGCTCGGGGCGCGCGGCGGTTTTCTGCCCCGTCGAACCGCGCGTCGCCCCCTGTCGACCGTTGCGTCACCCCCGCTGCTGCCCGCGCTCCTGTGTTAGGGTTTGGGGGTGGAGAGTATGGGGGTGCCGGGTGTATGAGCCGTCCCCTACTCCTCCTCCTCCGTCTCCCACTGCTGCAGCTGCCGCTGAGGGGGGTGGATGTGTTGGAGCCGTCGGAGTGGTACGAGGGGGGTGGCGTGTGAGCGGTGCTAGTGGTTCAGCAGGGAGTGTGTGACAAGGGTGTGGGACAGTTGGGGGAGGTTGACAGGAGGTGGCCGTTGTGACGTCTGCAGCGCCAGTAGTCCGGGGGTTGAGTACTCCGGTAGCGCAGCGAGCCTGCTGCTGCCAGTCGCCCGTGGGTCTGTTGCTCCTGCTGCTGCTTAGCGCGGAGCCAGTTACTCATGTAGTCCGGAGGTTGAGTGCTCCGATAGCCACCGTGCGCGCCGTTCATGTTGCCCGTGTGTCTGCGGCTTCACCAGACGCCTCCTATCTCCACTCCTCTCACAGTTCCTCCTCCTCCTCACTTGCCCTCTGTGACTGCCTCAAGCTTTGCTTGTATTTGTGAACCTACTGCTCTACGTGCTTGCTGTGCTGATTATACCCCACTTTGACTATGGGGGTGTGACAGAATGTGATGTTTGTCTAGCCTGCAGTGGGGTACTCAATAGCGAGTACAACCCAATTAGGGTTTCCTATATTTATCTCAACTGCTGCTAGTGAAAACCTCTCTTTCGTGTTTATCGATTTAGCCTGCTGTTTTAACACATTCCTACAGTAACAAACTCTTAACGCGAAGATGACTTCAGCGAGGACGAAGACCGAGCAACACTGACAGTTATCGAAGACGGATGCAAGCAGGACGAATTTGAAGTGCAAAGCGCGGGAAAGCTTTCAGACAGTTACCGTAGTGCATATAGTTACCGAAGCGCACGGTTGGATTTCACGCTATAGATTAGCCCTAAGGGGAATGTTCAATGTACTCTAGGACCTTTCGTATTCCACTGTATTCCTATATAAACCATTGTACTGCATTGTATTAGTCACTTTGGTCGAGATTCAAATCTCCCTCTTCTGACAGGGTCCGTATGCGACATCACCGAGCAATCTTCCGCTGCTACATTCCGTGCGATCAACCTGAGACGAATCTGTAAGACGGTTCAGATTGTATCAGTTTTGACGGTGTGGCTGCTCCCACGTGCGGAGCCTCCAAGGTGATCGACCGATTTTACAGCACCTGATTTTAAAAAAGATCACGGTCTCGGCTCAGTTATCCTCATAACGGATACGGGCGTCCCAAACGGTAGTTTTGAATGTTTGAAATTTGAAGCGCCACGTCCTGCGTTGCCCCTTCTCCTCTCCCTCACCACCTGCCCCACTTTCTCCTCACTCTCTAACCTCCCATTTCTACCTTCAGCACCATGATCACTCGCTGCAGTTAGCAGCGTTGGCTGCGCATCCAATTCGCGTTTTCTACATAGTAATATTTTATTTTTTCATTTGCCGCGTCTCTGATCGTTACTCCTAGTTCGTTCCTCGCTGTTACGGTAGCAGGTCGTTCCAGGGCTGCCTTTCTGGCCCTGGCACGGGGCTGAAAGTGCAATGGAAGCAGCACACAGGGGGGCGATCATGCAGAAAGGAGAGGCTTTACAAGTGCAGAGAGAAGGTAGTAAGCAAACGCCTTATCCTGTTACCCCGGAGCAGCAGCAACGTCGGGCGATAGAGGGCGAACGGCTTGATTCCTTGCGTCAATACAGGCGGCGAGAGGCAGCGCGCTAAGGCGGAGAGGCGCATAAAGGGGGAGAAGCGCAGTTTCCTTCAGAGAAAGGCGCAACGGCGGTGAAGGGCGTGACGGCGGGGAAGGTCGCGACGGCGGGGAAGGGCGCGTGACTCACGCTGAGAAAGGCGCAACAGCGGAGGAAGGGGAAGGCGCGGAAACGAGAGAACAGGACGGACGCGGAATGCTTGCGCGGACGCGGCAGGCCGACGTGGCGATGCGCGTGAGCGCCATGATGGGCGGAGGGGCGGGGAGCGGCATGATGGGCGGAGAGACGGAGAGCGCGGAGGAAATGTCTCTGGAGCAGCTGATGGGTGTGAGCCGATGGTGCGTGCTGCGCGCCGTGGAGGTGGAGGTGACGGCTAGAGTGGCGGAGAGGCTTGGGGAGATGGAGGAGAGAAAGAGAGAGGAAGAGAGGGAGAGGGAGGAGGAGAGGGAGAGAGTGAGAGAGGACGAGAGGAGGAGGGTGAGAGAGGAAGAAAGGAAGATAGAGGGAGAGAGAAATAGGGCGAGAGAGGAAGAGTGGAAGTGTGTGATAGAGGAAGAGAGGAAGAGGATGAGGGAGGAAGAGAGACAGAGTGTGCGAGCGGAAGAAAGGGAGAGGTTGAGAGAGGAAGAGAGGGAGAGGGTGAGATCAGAAGAAAGGGAGAAGGTGAGAGAGGAAGAGCGAGAGAGGGTGAGAGAGGAAGAGAGGGAGAGAGTGAGAGTCGAAGAGAGGGAGATAGTGAGAGTCGAAGAGAGGGAGAGGGTGAGAGATGAACAAAGGACGAGGGTGCAAGAGGAAGCGAGAAAGAGAAAGATGGAGGAAACGAGGAAGAGAGCGAGAGTCGAGGAGAGAATGAGAATAAGAGAAGAAGAGAGGATAAGAGCGAGAGAGGAAGAGGCGAGTAAGAGGAGAGAGGTCGCGAGAAAAGCGAGGGAGGCTCTAGCGAAGTCGAAGAGGCGCAAAAGGGAGCTAAAAGCAGCGTTGACGGAGGCAGCGAGGGCGGTGGCTGGAATGAAGGAGGGCGTTGAAGAGAAGGTGCGGGAGGTAGTGGTGCGGGCGGCGCTGTTTGGCTGCTTCCTAGAGGACGAGACGGCCTTTCAAGCTGCTCCTGGAGGCAGTGCCGGGCGCAAGCGAGCTCGCATGGCGGACGGCTCTGCTGCTGCGCACCGCATGAGGGAGGTGCGTAGCGTTGGGCATGCTATCATTAATCCATTCCGAGCCCTCATTCCGTGACCCTCATCGCATGCCCTTCCCCCCATGGGCCCAGTTTCACGCCCCCCCAGCCCATGCACCCCATGTACGCATCTCTCCTGGCACATAGTGATGCTTCTTGCCATGCCACGTAACAGATTGCGCTTTACAGTCACGCGTGCGGTGCTCTATAAGCAGCTCTGACATGTGCTGTGCGTTCCTATCTGCTCTGCGGCAGAACATGCTTTATGCTTCCCATCCCCATACTACACCCTCCGTCCACCACTCTTGCTACCCTCGCTGCTCACTTCCTTCCTTCCTTCATACCTACTCTCGCCGTCCCTCTCACCTCCCACCATAACCTTAAACATAAACTTCCATTGCTCACCACCCCATGCCAACCATCCCATGCCACCCATCCAATCCCTGTCCCATTCCTCCATCCCATTCCCCCAATTTCATTCCCCCATCCCATTCCCCTATCCCGTTCCCCAATCCCATTCCCCTATCCCAGTTCCCATCTCATTCCCCCATTCTGTTCTCCCTGCCTTCTAACTCGCGCCTGCCATACATCACCTGCCAGCTCTTTCGCGCGGCCACACAGGCGCCGTCTCTCATCGTTGCCCCAACACTACCCCATCGCTTCCAATTTCCCCCCCTTACGCCTTCCAACCCCCCTTCTTTCCCCCTCCCCCCCCCCGTCCCCCCACCCCCCATTGTGTTTTGCCTGGCAGCACCTGGAAACCCTCTTAGCCTATGCAGAGGAGGCGAGAGGGAAGGCCCGCGAGGTGAGGAGGAAAGTGCGTGGGCTGTGGCATAGACATGTGTTGAGTGGTGGGGCGATGCAGGTTGAAGTGGAGAGGGAGGAGGAAGAGATGAGAGAGGAGGACGGGGATGAGGAGGAGGAGGAGGAGGAGGAGGAGGAGGAGGAGGAGGAGGAGGAGGAGGAGGAGGAGGAGGAGGAGGAGGAGGAGGAGGAGGAGGAGGAGGAGGAGGAGGAGGAGCAGGAAGAGGAGGAGCAGGAAGAGGAGGAGGAGCAGGAAGAGGAGGAAGAGGAGGAGGAGCAGGAAGAGGAGGAAGAGGAGAAAGAGCAGGAAGAGGAGGAAGAGCAGGAAGAGGAGGAAGAGGAGGAGGAGCAGGAAGAGGAGGAAGAGCAGGAAGAGCAGGAAGAGGAGGAAGAGGAGGAAGAGCAGGAAGAGGAGGAAGAGGAGGAAGAGGAGGAAGAGGAGGAAGAGGAGGAAGAGGAGGAAGAGGAGGAAGAGGAGGAAGAGGAGGAAGAGGAGGAAGAGCGTGGGCATGAGAAGATAGAGAATGCTCTAGAGGAAGAAGTTGGTGACAACTATGACTTGGTGCAGGTGCGCAGTGCTGAAGCGATCTGCCCTGTCATGTAGTGGCTGTGAAAGCATGGTGGATGTGGGGGAATATTTGTAGCCTCATTGGTCATCTCCTCTTGGGTACTACTACAACAAGGTCCTGTGACCTCCTCATCACTCTGGGCTACTCTCGCACAATTTCTCCACCCCGTTCCTCCTTCCACGCTCTCTAACCACGTCGCCTCGCCCTCTTGGCTCTCTTGATGCTTCCACTCCCTTGGGCCACCACATGGGCCACCACATGGGCCATTACATGGACAGTTCTCATGTGATTCTCCTTTCCCACATTGATCCCCCCCTTCTTCCCCCACCCATTTCTTCCCGTTGTCCCTCTCAGCCCTACGCCCAGGAACATGTTATGGCAGCCAGACTCGTCCAGAGGGGGCGAACGAGGGTTGGAGGTTTAGGCGGAGGTGCCGGAGGGTGCATGGGGGAGAGGCGTGAAGGGGGGGAGAGCGGGGAAGGGAGAGGCGGGGCAGATAAAGTGGACAGGAACGGACAGCGGGAACGAGATCGGCAAGAGCAATTGCAGCGGGGCCGAGCACGTTCGGAGATCGGGAAAATCATGCGCACTGTCCCTGCGGATGAACTAGAGAGTGTCAAAGCGAGGATGAAGAAGGTCACTAGCTTCCTGGCAACCCAAGACCCCGCAGCACAGCACCTCACCTTTCAGGCCGCAACCCCGTTTTCAGTGACGACCCTAACCACAGCCTTTTCTTTTTCCTCACCCTCGCCCCCTGCCACTGCCCCGGCCTCTATGCCTCGCTCTCCTCCCTCACCCTCCACCGCCTCTCGCCCATTCCCTCTCACTCCCTCGCCTCCCTCTGCCAGCTGCCCTCTCTCACCTCACTTTCCGTCCTGGGAACTTCCATCAATTCCTCAGGCAATTTTCGGTTCTCATCCTTCTCTCCGCTCCACCAGCTCGTTCTGGACTGCCCAGACCCCAGTGAGCTGAATTTTGGCACTTTCTACGCCGATGAGAGCGAGCCGTTTGAGAGGCTGAAGGAGCTGCATTTCAGCCGCGTCACGAACCACCTGCTGCTGGAGGTTGGCGGGTTGACAGGCCTTGAGGCCTTCTCCTGCACGTGCAGTGAGGAAGTGACTCATTGGGGTTTGAGGAACCTGAATCGCCTCACCAGGCTGACGAGGCTGCAGGTGGCGCCAGCAAACCTGGAGGACCATCACCTGCAGCTGCAGTTCCGCAATGATTCCTTGCCAGATATCTCCACGGTCTGCCAGCGGCCCACTCCCAACAGCAAGCGCGCTTGTTATTGTGACTTTCGGCTTTTTAACCCCAAGTACCCGTGCTTGGATGGCAGTGTCTGGCAGGTGGTGGGTGCGCTGCACGGCTTGCAGCAGCTTGGCGTGCATGGAGTGGCCAGCAGTAATCAAGACCTGCAAGCCCTCACTGCTCTCACACACCTCACCTCTCTCCACATCACTGGCACCAACCTGAACGATTATGCATGCTTCAAGGGCTTTTCTCAGTTGAGGGACCTGGGGCTGGCTGGGTGCAGCGTGGATGTGGAATCGTACGTGTGGGAGTGGAGCCGCAGCATGCCACAGTTACAATCCTTGGATCTATCAGCCACGCGGATCAGCTACAAGAGCACATCTCAGCTTTATTTACTTACGAGTTTGGAGCGCCTGAAGGTGCAGCAGTGCTGCAACCTGCGTGAGGCGTTCCTGCGGCATGTGAGCCTGATACCCCAGCTGAAGGAGCTGGATGGGCTTTAACAATGTGCAGCCAGGATGGCTGAGTCCGATACGGGATGAGAAGAAGGTGGCCCGGCTGTGTGTGCGCAGCTGTGGGTGGAACGCTAAGCAGGTCTACAAGGTTCAACGGTCGTGGATTAAAGTAGAGAGGTGATGCCGCTGGGATGCGTGGCATGTGCTGTGACGCATGGCACGTGCTGGGATGTGGGATGTGTGGCATGTGCTGGGATGTGTGGCATGTGCTGGGATGCATGGCATGTACTGGGATGTGGGATGTGTGGCATGTGCTGGGATGTGTGGCATGTGCTGGGATGCATGGCATGTGCTGGGATGCATGGCATGTGCATTGTAGTGATGTATGTTGATGTGGGTAACGCATTTGAAGATTGGATGGGGTGAGATGTCAGCAGCGGAGTGAATCCCATGGTGTGTGCAATGTGTGTGCAATGTGTATGCACTGGCACCTTGTGCAAATTATATGCTGCATGGATGGCGCATGGCATGTGGGCATGACATGCTGTGCATAGCATGTTGATCCATCTGAGGGCCTTCAACTTGCATCAGCTCACATTCCTACTGGTTATTAGTTGCACCTGTTGGAATTAAGGTTAATTCGGGTTGCTCCAATAAACATATGTAGTGATACATCTACACTATAGTAGTGTATAATACATTGGTTGGGTTGGGAGAACTTGTGGTGTACACTCTTTAGAGTGGACCACCTCCCAAACCTTATAGGTTAGGGTTCTCTCTTGTTGGAACTCCACTTCTTAGAAACCACTTTGGTTCTAGCATGGTTCATGCCCAAGTGGGCTCCTAAGATTCCTAGGCTTTACGATGAGGTTCTAAGACTACTACAGCTTCCACTGGTAGCTTAGTCCATTCTAATATGGTATCAGTGCTAGGAAGGCCTAGCAATCTGTTGGAATAGGAGTTACTCAAGACATCGGACCATAATATCTTGGTGGAAGCTATTTAGCTTCCATCCCTCTTGAAGGGTTGCCGAAATTGCACCGTGGTGGACTCTGGACGTGGGAAGGGAGGAGGAGAGAAGAAAACTGCTGGAAATCGTGTGGATCCGTTTGGGAGGACGAGAAGAGCGACATCCATTCACAGAGGCGCTCAGTCAACTTTGCCGATCAAGACGTGCATCACACCGATGGAAAGGTCTCAGCACGATCTACAACAATTGCCTCGGAGTCGTCACCAATCGACGAGCGGATCAAACGCAATTCGCGAAAAACTGCCGGCGGCCGAATTGGAAAATTGCAAATCGGGGACGATTTAAAGCGCAGAAAAGAAATTGGAGGCCGGCGCCAAGAGAGGACACTAGGGCGCATCCAACAAGCCAAAACTCGGGCGAAACGGTTGAGTATTCGTCGACGGAAACTCGGCCAACTTCGACGAGTTTAAGCGGACAGCTCGGACGTGGGATCCCGTAACGCGATACATCATTGGAACGGGCTCGAAGCGAGGAGTTACGCTCCAAAAACCAAGAGGGGGTGAATCTGCCCGCATCGTCTTCACCGCCACCGCCGTTGCCTCCATCACCACCTCAACGTCAATCTTCAGTGCCTGCGCCACAAATGGATCACGGCTCAGGCGAAGGGAAGCTGGAGAGTGCTCCAAAGTTTGATGGGAGCGACTATTGGACTTGGAGCTTCCGATTCGAACAATGGGCAGAGGCGCACGATCTATGGGGGTACTTTGATGGCTCGGAGGAGCGACCTGCAACGGGTGACGCACGGCTGATGTGGGAGAGGAAAAATCAGAAAGCATTCGCCCAATTTTGCAATGCCTTGGTGCCAGATGAGTTGATTCGCTTGGTACGGGAGTTCGGCGGCAAGACCGAGTTGGGCAGCGCACCTGTTGATGGCGCAGCAAGAGCAGTCACCCGGGTTCCTGCAGGCACAGCAGCGGCATACACACGAGTGAAGGAGTTCTACCTTCAGCGTGGATTGTGTAATCGGATGGCACTCTCTGAGGAGCTCTCCTCATTGAAGATGAAAGAGGGAGAGGGAGTGGCTGCATACTGGGCGCGTGCCGAGGACTTGAGGTCCAAGTACTTGGCTGCAGGAGGGAAGGAGGAGGTTGAGGAGTGGATGATGAGGGTACTCAAAGGACTACCTCCTCACTTTGAGATGCTGAAGGTGGTGCTGAACAACCAGTCATCATCACTCACTAAGGATCACCTGCTTACCTCCTTGAGGAGCGAGGAGATGCGGATTGGTGTCGCACCAAGATCGGATGGTGTAGCCACCTTTGGAGCGGGTACGAAAGTGGGCAGCAGCAGCAGGGGAACTTGGGACAAGGGAGGAAAGCATGGAGGCAGCGGTAGCAGCAGTGACACCAACTCGGGCAGATGGGGTCGAGGGAAAGGCAAAGTGGAAGTGCTTGATTTCCCCTGGGGGTCCAAGGGCATGGCTCCTCGGGGGTTGTGTCATGGCTGTTGGAATGAGGGACATGCATGGCAGCGATGTCCTCATCGACCTAAGGGAGGCATTCCGGCATTCTTAAAGCGGGGGGTCGTGGGTCCAACGGCAAGGCACAGGTGGCGGATGAGGAGGAGCAGGATGACAAGGCAGAGGCAGTGGTTGGAGAGGCAATTGCAGCAGTGGGAGAGGAGCAGCCGCGAGAGGGGTGGTGGATTGACAGTGGGGCCAGCCACAACTTTACTCCTTATGCGTCAGACTTCAAAAGTAAGCTTCAGCCACCAGAGGTTCGGGGAGTTAGATTGGGAGATGGACGGGTGGTGAAAGCTGTTGGCATGGGTGAGGTGCCAGTGGTTGGTGCTGGAGGTCAGCTGCTGAGGATTCAAAAGGTCCACCTTGTGCCTGAGATGCACACGCGTCTGCTGTCAGTCCCACACCTCACCTCTCGAGATGTCATTGCCACATTCAAGGGCAAGAAATGTGTCCTTCAACGGGGGGAGCGGGTGTTGGCGATTGGAGAAAAGGAGAGGGAAAGGGACCATGGATTGGTGTGGATGTTTCTTCCTCTTGCTCGGGGCACACAAGGCAGTGCTCTTGCAGCTGGGTCCTCCTCCTCATTTTCCCCATTGACCCTTGCCCATCGCCGCCTTGGTCATACCGCCCCTACAACATTGCAATAGATGGCTCGGGGGAACATTGTACTGGGCTTGGAGATTGGGGGGGGGAGCACTGATTGCTCCCCATGTGAGCCTTGCTTATTGGGAAAGTCGGCTCGGAAGCCGTTTCCCCATGAGGCGTCTCGGGCACTTGGGCCTTTGGATTAGGTCCACATGGATTTGTGCGGGCCAGTGCGCACACCGTCACTGGGAGGAGCGGTGTATGTCCTCAGTCTCATTGACGACTTCACCAGACAAGTTTGGTCGTTCCCCCTCCCCAACAAGGAATCGGCCACAGTTGCAAAAGTCCTTTGCTAGTGGCATAAAGACGTGGAGTTGGAGTGTGGGCGGAAGCTGAAGGCTGTTCGCTCGGACAGGGGTGGTGAGTTCTTGGGGGAAGCTGTAAAAGCATGGAAGGCGGAGTTTGGCATTAAAACTCAATTGAGCGTCGCAGATATACCGCAACAGAATGGGGTCGTGGAGAGGTGGCACAGGACGATGGCAGAGGGGATTCGCACATTGTTGGTCGACAGTGGTCTCCCTGCTTGCTTGTGGGGTGAAGCATTGATGTGGGTCGTGTGGGTTAAGAACAGGGTCACACACAGTGCTTTGCCTGCCTCCATCACACCAATGGAGGCATGGTCCGGCCAGAAGCCGCATGTGGGCATGGCTCGGATTTGGGGTTGCATGGGGAGTGTCATGCTGCATGGGCATGAGAAGGGTGGCAAGCTTGATGCACGGGCTGTCATGTGTGTCTGTGTTGGGGTGGACATGGAGAGCAAGGGTTGGCGCATGCTGGACCCTTCTCTCATGCGCATTCGCATTGCTCGGGATGTTGATTTTCTTGAGAATGTGATGTGGAAGGATTGGGACAAGGCAAAGGGATTTGGGGAGCTTCTGCAGGATGCAGCTGCAATTTCCCAACTCCTCCCTCTTCCACTCTCGCCATCCTCCGCAATGGCTGACGACGTTGAGATGCCACCTTCATCACTGCCACCGGCACCGCTGAGTGTGTCGGTGCAGCAGCTGCCCACCCCTTTGCAGCAGCTCAGTGGCCCCTCGGTCATTCAGCGGAGATCCGCTACACAGGCTACTTCCTCTTCCTCCTCCCCTGGTTAGCACTCTGTCCCTCTCTCTATGGGTGCCCCTCCGTCACCAGCGACTACCTCCCCACCACCGGTTACGGGTTTGCAGGTGCTTGGTATCCACTCTGGTACAGGTGGTGAGGAGGTAGGGGGGGATGCTGGTGTGGTTGAGGGCATGCTGTGTTTGGCCAGGGAGGTGGAAGGTGTTGCACTGGTAGGTGTGAGCACCGGTGATGTCCCACGCACACTCGCTGAGGCCTTGCGTGGCCCTGAGGGCCCTGCGTGGAAGGCAGGCGCTGAGAAGGAGGTATATGCAATGCGCACTATGGGTGTATGGGATCCAGAGCCGGTCGACTTACCTCCAGGTAAGAAGGCCATTGGGGTCAGGTACGTTTTCTGTAGGAAAACTGACAAGGAGGATAAGGTGGTATAGCACAAGGTTCGCCTTGTTACTAAGGGGTACACTCAGGAGCCCGAGAAGGACTATGATCAGGTATTTGCCCCTGTGGGCAAGCTCACCTCAGGTCGGGTGCTTCTTGCAGAAGCCGCGGTAAAAGGGTGGCATGTACAACAGGAGGATGTTGATCATGCTTACCTCAATGCAGTCCTTCAAGAGGAGGTGTATGAGAGGCAACCTGAGGGATTTGATGATGGTATAGGTAGGGTGTATCGCTTGCGCAAAGCTCTCTATGGGCTCAAGCAAGCGCCTCGTGCTTGGAATGAGGAGATTGTTACCACCCTGATTGCAGCAGGGTTTGACCGCAGTGCATGTGATGAGGCTCTGTACATCAGGTTTGTGGATGAAGAGCCAGTGTATGTATTGGTGTATGTGGATGACCTCTTGCTTGTGTCTCCACGCTTGGAGCTGATCGGTCAGGTCAAGGAGGTGCTTGCTCAGAGGTACCAGATGAAGGATCTAGGTGAGGTATCCACGTACCTTGGTGTGGAGGTTCGCAGGTCGGTCAAGGATGGGTGGTTGGAGATTGGTCAGGAGAAGTATGTCCGTGGTCTCCAGGGAAGGTTTGGTGATCTGCTGAAGGAGACCCATAGGGTGCATATTCCAATGTCACCCAATGATCTCTCTAAGATCAGAAATGGTACTTGGTCGCCTGAGGAAGGTGTTGCAACTGATGTTAAGGTGTACCAGAGTCTCATTGGCAGCTTGATGTATGCTGCTGTGACCACCCGTCCTGACATGTCTTTCACTGTCAACACCCTTGCACAGTCCTGCGTGTTACCAAGACGCATTCACATGCGCGCTGCACTGAGAGCACTCAGGTACTTGGTCGACACAGCTGATCGTGTCATCAGGTATGAGCGCCAAGGTGGTGAGCAGGTTGTTGGGTACACAGACTCGGATTGGGGTGGTGAGACTGATGGCAAGAGTCGCTCTGCCTACATCTTTAAGTTGGGAGGAGGAGCAATCAGCTGGTATAGCAAAAAGCAAGACAGTGTCGCAGCAAGCGTTTCTGAAGCTGAGTACAAAGCTCTATCGGAGGGGGCCAAGGAGGCCATTTGGTTGAGGAGTTTGTTGGCAGAGATGCATGTGGGGGATGGGGGGGCTATTCCATTGCTCTGTGATAATGAGGCTGCTGTCTCCCTTGCCCACAATCCCATCCTCCATCAGCGCACCAAGCACATTAAGGTGGCATGGCACTTTGTACGGGATGCGGTGCGCTAGCAGGAGGTCGAGGTGCACTCAGTACGTTTCCACCTCCAGGATGCCGACATGCTCACCAAAGCTCTTCCAAGCTTGCAGCTGCATGAGAACCTGGAGCGCATCGGCATGCGAGTGATGGCTGCAAAGGCCAAGGCTTCATTCGCTGGAGGGGTTGTGTTTTGAATTATGGGTGAACTTTAATGCTTATTGGAGCAAGGGGGGGTGTTGGAATTAAGGTTAATTCGGGTTGCTCCAATAAACATATGTAGTGATACATCTACACTATAGTAGTGTATAATACATTGGTTGGGTTGGGAGAACTTGTGGTGTACACTCTTTAGAGTGGACCACCTCCCAAACCCTATAGGTTAGGGTTCTCTCTTGTTGGAACTCCACTTCTTGGAAACCACTTTGGTTCTAGCATGGTTCATGCCCAAGTGGGCTCCTAAGATTTCTAGGCTTTAGGAGGAGGTTCTAAGACTACTAAAGCTACCGCTAGTAGCTTAGTCCATTCTAATAGCACCATATACTGTAGGCCCCATTCTTCTCTGAACCCTTGTCCACCTTGCTTCTCCTCATTCCCACCAGCGCTTTCAGCTGAAGTGTTGGATTGGAAGTGCTTATTCAAGCGACACTACATCTTTCTATTTACCGTATGTGTTTTTGCAGTGCTATTTCCACACGTTTCGTTATTAGGCCCTGAGATTTAGCCATTCTATGCCAATTCAGCATAATAGCATGCTTGTTTTCTTACGTATCTTGGGTGGGTGGGGGGGACGGGGGGCGGGCGGGGGATACGCTGACTCTGTAGTTAAAGTGGAACCTTATGCTGAATTTGCAAGTTGTGCTCGTAGCCCACCCATTTTCCCTCGACTCTTTTCCCTGCCCACCCCATTCTCTCGCCCCGCCCCCTTGCTCACCTCTTTCGCTCGGCTCTCCAACCCTCCTCGTTTCTCCCCTTCCCCAACCCCAGTCCCCAAGCCCACCCGCTTCTCCCGCCCCTCCCCTTCTGCCCACCAGCCTCTCCCGCCCCTCCCCGCAGCTCACACCTGCCTCCCTCGCGCCCACTTTGCTTCCCTCGCCCCCTATTTCTTGTCACTCCCTCCCAATCATGTTACGGTACTCAAAGGATTTTTTTTTTTTTTTTTTTCTAATTTTCTTACCACGTACCTGCGTAACGCGTACAACACCCGACCGTTCTTGGCCCGTTACTAGTTAACGGCGCCACTTCGCACGTTACCTCAAACCATGCACTGTTGTACTCGGCCGAGTCGGCCTACGCTTGGGGACTAGCCCAAACCTCCCTGCTAGCAATGCATTAAGTACATCGCAAGTGTGTGTTACCATCTGCATGTCAGAATCCCAACCACTAGACCATTGGGATAAACGGGCTTGTTTGTGTAGCGGGTAAGTGCGCCCATAACCCCCCAGGCCAACATGCCTGTAACCCTTCCCTAGGATCAATCCGGGATCACCAGTGGACCTCTGACACCCCCCCGCACTGGGATGCCCGAAGTGCACACACCGGGACCAGAACCCGAGACCTTTGCTCTGATACCATGTCAGAATCCCAACCACTAGATCATTGGGATAAAAGGGCTTGTTTGTGTAGCGAGTAAGTGCGCCCATAACCCCCCAAACCAACATGCCTGTAACCCTTCCCTAGGATCAATCCGGGATCACCAGTGGACCTCTCACATTGCATGTTTCGATACTCACCATAATCCCACGGATAAAAGACCCAGGTTGTAGACCCTCGGGTGGTCTATAATACAAGGGTGGCAGGGGGGTACTCAGGTTGGGTCGTTAGTAGTTATACCCCCCTTTTTGTGCAACCATTATGAGACCCCCCACCCTTAGGAAAAATGTGAGGCTTGCTAGTTTCTATAATAATAATGAAGCGATTTCGGACATACCGTACAACACTTCTTTCCCCTTCTCGATGAAAGCATGACGTGGGTATTGCGCAGTCAACAAAGTACATTTTTTTTTTTTTTTTTTTTTTTTTAAATTTCACCACTGCCAAGCAGATGAGTTCAAGTCTTTCGAGTGGTGAGGGTGGGGACATTCACGCCCTCACCCATGTTCGAGGCCAAGGTGCAAAGTACAACTGACACAAACATAGACAACAAACATGCATTCATCCTAGTAATCCTTTAGATATCAACCATGTATTAAGACTCGTTCGGTAACATTTGTAAAGGCCCCACACCCACCCCCCTCTCCCCCCCTGACACACCAATTTTTTTTTGTGCGATGCTGTCAGGGTCCTAACAAATCTTCATGGTCCTTCGAAAAATGTTGGCGAACACTCATACGACATTAAAGAGGACTGATTTTATTTTACGCAATTATCACCGTCATGAACTCTGGATAAGAGATGTGTCAAATGTTGTTATTTGTTGTAGGCAACAGTGGGGTGCTCTTTAGTGAGTACAATAGTTTTAGGGTTTCCTATTTGTACCCCTTTCTTTGCTAATCACAAACATTCCGTTGCATTCCTACTTTGAGATGGCATCACGAGTAGGTTAGTTCCTCGTTACTTCCTAGCCCGCGCCCTTTCTAGCGCACCTCCGCGCCCTCCGCGCCCTCCGCGCCTTAGCCTCCGCGCCCTCCACGCCCTCTCTGCGCCCTAGCGCCCTCCTCCTCCGCGCGTCAGCGCCCTCCGCGCCCCTAGCCCATGTTTTCGGCCCGCGCGCCTTAGCACCCTCCGTGCCCCTAGCCCGCTCCGTCGCGGACCTCCGCGCCCCTAGCTCATCGCCCAGGCCCGCGCCCTAGCCCGTCGCCCAGGCCCGCGCCCTATCCCGTCACCCAGGCCCGCGCCCTAGCCCGTCGCCCCAGCCCGCGCCCTAGCCCGTCGCCCAGGCCCGTGCCCTAGCCCGTCGCCCCAGCCCGCGCCCTAGCCCGTCACCCTAGCCCGCGCCCTGGCTCGTCGCCCCAGCCCGCGACCTAACCCGTCGCCCCAGCCCGCGCCCTAGCCCGTCGCCCCAGCCCGCGCCCTAGCCCGTCGCCCCAGCCCGCGCCTTGGCTCGTCGCCCCAGCCTTGCAGGCAGCGCGCCCCGCAGGCAGCACACCCTGCAGGCAGCCCGCCCCGGAGTGCTTTAGCGCCAGAGAATAAATAAATAAATTAAACCCTAAAAAAAAAAGGGTATAGAGTGGGGGCCTGCAACTGTCCCCCGCGTTCCTGCTTGTCGGATGACCTGCACAGTTGCCTACATCCCGCAGCCGTCAGTACTGCAGCCCCTACTGTCGCATATACTTTCCACTACCAGTGGCTCTACTAGCGGCAGCCGACAGCCGCACTTACGGTCTCTAGCTCCGGCCGTTCCTACCTCCAGCCAGCCCTAGCTTGCCGTTTCTAGCTCCAGCCAGTT